TATAACTAGTTATAAAAGATTTTTCTTTCTTAGATAGTATTTTTAGGATTTGTTTTGTACATTTTAAAACTCCCACTCATTTAGTGCCTGCGTCACGCTAAGTGTGACAAGAAACTAAATCTGCTCGATTTTAAAAATACTATAATTTTGTTTAGAGTCAAATAATAATATGAATACGCTGCAAAACCTGATTTCACCATGCACATTTAGCCCGGCATAGAATACATCATCGCGAAAAGCGACACTTACGAAATTTCGTAAACTCCGATGTCAGACACGGAATGCAGCAATGCCACTACTATGTTCTCAATACCTGCTATGTTTAACACTTTTTGGATTTTTCTTGTGTATTATGAATTTATAGTCGCATTTCGGCTTATTTGAAAGAGAAAATCCATGTCAGTACGAATAAGTCACGCAGTCTATTCATACGAAAAAAAGAAAAAGTAATGAAAAATGTAATTCAAAAATTTCTGAAAGTAATCTAGTTAACCGTGATTCGAAAAAATTAGTCGTGAGTCGTGAAATCGCCAAAGTTTTAGCCGTGAGTTGTGATGCGTACCACCCCATTGAGACCCTCCAGCCGGTATGAYTAATTTATTTGATAAAATACGTTGTCAATTTTTTTAATTTTTGGCTTTTTTGTAGTGAACTAAATCGACCTTCGAAAACCGGAAGTGATGAAATTTTTCACATTTTGTCCCCGTGCGCCCTACATATTTATCTGATCGATATGAAATTTCTACCATTGGACTCAGCTTCCGAAATTGGTTCTACATGCACGTTTTGAGGGATTTGATAAAAAATTATTCGGAAGTCATAGGTGACCCAGGAACCCATTACTAGGAGCGTGCAGGGCCACAGCGTTTTCACAGACGTGGATATTTTTTGATTTATTTTTGGTAAAACGCTTGCTTGAGTTTTTCCTTTTAGTGTCACATCCTAAATTGATATTCATCATTTTTATATCAACGATTTCTGTTATAGTCACAGAACCGACACATGTTAGCCTGTCGAGCGACTGCGGTGTTTCTTTATCGAAGTGATTTTGAAAATACAAGTGAACATTTTCCATTAGTTATACATCGGACAATGAACATGTTTTCCTCGATCACTACACCTGAAAAGACTTCTTTGGCTCAGGTACTAGAAATAATGACTTAATAGTACGGGATGATGTCAAATTGTGTGAACCTTTTGGTTCGTCTAGCTCATTCACTTTGATTTCAGCTAGGTTTTAAGCTTACTTTTCCCGAGGTTTCAAATATCGACGAATTTGTTGACTTGCAATCATTCCTGATGTCTGGGTTTTAGCCATTAAAATAGACGAAGTAGGTCAAAAGCAAATCTTGTCTTGATGCAGAGGAAGTCAATTTTCAAGCAATCTTTACTCGCATGATGTACAAAACTAGTATTAACTAGCTCAAAGTACCTGACATACCTCTAAAACTATTTTCCTTTCCACGAGTAAACCACGAAAGCTTGATTATTACAGGGAATACTAAATAGGTAGCGAGGTTGAGCTGGGTATTGTTCTTGATATCAAGGTGAAGTCCAGAGTGTGCCCGCTTTGACGCATATTGCAAACGAAGAATGAAATAAGCATATTGAACAACTTGATCTTACAGTTTTTTAAGCATATAGCGTATAGCGCTGGCCTTAGTGCAATATATAAAAGAAAAAAAACATAAAAGAGTAAGTAAGGGCTTTTCCTTATTTAGCCGCTCTTGGTATGGAGGACGGACGAATCGCTAACGATCAACTCAGCGCATCTWCASAATACATCRRCGRTCAATTACCAGCATGGAAGGGTCGACTGAACAACCCAACTTCAGCTTGGGCAGCAATKAACTCCCRCCCCGKACATTGGTTTCAAATAAAATTTGACGTAGCGCACGCCATAGTTGCCATAGCAACACAGGGAGCTCCTCATGAWTATCAATGGGTGAAGACCTACACAGTCSGGTACAGCAATGATGGAGTCACCTTTGCTGGCTACAATAATTCTCAAGTGTTCGTTGGCAACAATGACATGAATACTGTGGTCAGAAACAAACTGAATCTGACGGCTAAGTTTGTTAGAGTTTATCCAATGGCTTGTCAGAAGTTTGTTACCATGAGGCTTGAGTTATATGGCTGTGCGCTATAGCATGGCTTTCAATTCTGTTGTGCCGCTCAGCCTTTTATTGTACATGTTGCACTAAGTCCCGCGCTATACGACGAACTTCGCATGTGCCGAAAACAATCCACGAATTAAATGCATGTTAGATGCGGCGTATAAATCAATTAAATTCGACAATATTGGATTAAATACGACTTCTTTCGAATCTACTAATTAAAGAGTAGATGATACGCCCATGGTGCGACAGTTGATTTTTACGCTGTATCTCACATGTGCCGAATGCAATGCATACATTGTTTTTTAAATAACATGAATTAAAGGTTATCCACCAATCTCGTTACCACGGCTCTTCAGACATGATAGGGGTGACAGAAGCGATCTGGACACGAGACCGAGAGGGGATTGGGAATTAAATTTGTCGCTTAAAATTCGGCGTCTAAATCAAATGCCTCATTTAATCATTTAAGTCGACTAAAAAAGGAGCAGTATTCGATACATGTGAAGTTCGGCGTATAGCGCGGGCCTATGTTTTCTTAAAATCAGTTAATCATGCATGCAATTAATACAAAGACTAAGTTCTTTAAGACGTTTGCTTTCCAGCATACATCTCATTTTTATTGCTTTTAAACACATCATCAAAGACATACAAATAAGATTGAATAGAAATGTCAATAAATATAAAGCTAAATCAATGGAATGGTCACTTCATCTAATGACATATTGTCTGTTTCCTCGAATTGCATTATGGTAATGATGAATTAAGATGCCAGATATCTTATTAAAKCTAATAAGTGACGAAGTTAAATAAACGAAATTGACGTTATCTATCCATAAGCATTAATATCTGCACACTAAAGTATGCTACAAATCGTTTGCGTTGTTCAAAAACTTCGAAACACCGTCATTTGGAGTCTCTAGATATCCGCCATTTTGATGCTTTTTTCACACCACGATGTACTTCTCCAGACACACAATATTTCATTTGAGGAAACGATTCTGATCCCTTTATATRTCTCTCAAGCTAGATATTTTGCACGTCTCTTTTAAGTTTTAGGGTAGTGTAAGAAAAATAAAAATGCTGTTCGCACCCTCGCACACCGAACATTTTTATATAAACAACCGTTTGTACAGCTCAATATAACTCGATTTTTTTCAAATAAACAGACAATGTAAAACATAGTTTCAAAAGTTATTAAAACATGCATTTATTTTKAATTTACTGCATGTACAGTTTTTAAAATAACAAAGAGAAATTTAAAGAAAGCTGATTTCAGGCCGATTTCAATTGCAACTAGAAAAAGCAAAAGTGCTATGTTTAACTGAWGGATATAACAAATAATATATCACGAAGCCAAAGAAATTTTCTAACCGATTTTGAGAAAAGCGARAAAACATTTACTTTTTTGCTTTTGTGCGCTGTCGACCGTACAGCCAAAACATGAATTCTTGAACGCGTCTTAYGAAGGTTTTCATTTCATTTGTTATTTGACAAAATTTGTTATTTGTATAAAAATGTTCAGTGTTTAAAGTGCACCTTCCCGATTTTTTTTTAATCTTTAAAACAATTCTTACGAGCCTTAAWATAATTTCTGTGTTGGTCTGGTGATTATTTTGTAAACGGTTGGGACGGAATCGAAAAAATARAACCAAAATTAAGTGATCCAAATCMTTTTGTCCGAGCGGGGACTGGCGCGACTCTTTTGACGTCATCCCARGGCATAAGTTCGGTCGCACAAGACGAAATGCCTTATAAAAGTCCATTTTTCTCACAAATATCAATAAAACCGCTCAGATTGAATGTATCAAACCGTTTTATATTCACTGAGAATTGTCGAGCGCTTGCCGTGAGCTCCGTAGATTTGAATTTCAGCAAAGTCCTTGTCCTCGGCACAGAATACGAAATRTTCATTTGAGGCACTTSGAAATTTTTACCTCGCGAAAGACTATGTACATACACGGCAGTCTAAATTTCTCGAGAAAATGAAATATAAAACAGCCACGATTACAGACATGAAAATATTCTTCCTTTGCAGAGAACTGTCAAGCGCTGACCATGATCGGCGGTTTCAAAATCGGGGAAATGCGATGCCCGACACTCATAATTTTGAACTCGAAAACAACTAGCACTCTACGCTTTGCGTCCTTTGCTTCTGGATCGCTTGGAAAGCGCTTAATAATGTTTCAAGAACGAAARAGTGTTCATTTCTGGATTCGTAGTCTTTTCATTTCATGAAATTAGAAAAGCGCTTGAAAGGAAGAATATTTTCAGTCATGTGTTTGCCTTATCGTACTTGTTTATTTCATTTTCTCGACTACGAGAARTTTAGACTACCGGGCATAGAGAACTTTGCCTCGAATGACTAATGGCTGTTTTGCGTATTTTGTGCCGAGGCCAAAAGAATTTGCTGAAATTCCAGGCCTATTACTAGTAAACTGAGTTCACGGCAGGCGCTTGACTTTTCTCAATAAGTATATAGCGGTATGGTTTATTCTGTCTTAGTGCATTTGGCACGCTTGATTTTGACAAAGTCGAGCCAAAGTCGATTTTTGGAGTTGACTCGCGATAAAATCCACTGTCAAKCTTTCKATAACAACAAATGCCTTGTCCTTGGATGACGTCAGAGTCAGTCCTAGTCTTTCCCGGTATTGAGACTAAAAAAAGAGCTCAAAGTTGACAATTTCCTATGTTTGTAAGCTCACCAAAAATTCGCTTTTTTATAAAAAATGAAAAATTCTTTCACAGATATGTTTCC